ACTATTAGAATTGATATTGCTGCGAATTTCATGGAATGATACTAAAAATAGTTGTCACAATCCAGTCCATTTAGTAATTAAACATGCCAAACCAAATAAGACTTGTGCTAATACCCATAGGATCATGATGACAGAGTGAATAGCACTGAGTGCAAGAAAAAGCTTCAACCACTTTAATATTTAAGATGATTTATTCATACCTTGGAGTTGGTTCATTAATTACTGAATTCTTTTATGAAGAAAATTAACTTTCAGTCCTAATGTAAAAAATGACAAAAACAAAGCATAATCAACTTAAAGTAAGTTCCTACTCGACAGAAGGAAATCGAAAATTAGTGGACGGTTGCTTTTACACGCTGAATTCGTGCTATACCACTTCAAAAGACGCACACACACACACTCACAAAAAAAAATTTAAAATATCTTTGAGATTGTACACGAATAATCTTTCTTGAGGTAAGATAATGGCTTGGTTTACTATGTTTTCTGTTACTCGCTTCTCTAAATTTTAGAACTTAAGGCAGCCTCATTACGCTTCTCTCTACTCATCGCATCATTTTACACAAACCGTTCGCAAAGGATTTAATTGTAGGCTTATTCAAAACCCTGACTGCTTAGTTTCACTTCATGCTTCAAAGACAAAGTATGTCTAGGCACTTCGGTGCACATGCGTCTTCCGGTATGAAGACACTCGGATGACCATATTTGACAGTTTTTCCCGTCATGATTGATTGCTTGGGAAATTTCGACATTTTAGGTTTAAAACAGAACAAGAACAAAGACCACCAACTGTGTCTCGCTTGAGCAAGCATAACATTGACTCCAGGGTTGCGGAATCATAATTAATTTTTCTCGGGCAATCTTTCATGTTGGTTCCACACTCACGCCGATCAAAACCAGAGTCTTCGGGACATGGAACAGAGAAACTACTCGTGTGTTACTGAACAGACGTTTGATTGGTCAAAGAGTATTGAAATTAAAGAAAAATGTCAGGGTTACAATGAAAAGTGTCTCTTGGATAAAATTTATCAAATCCTTTCATTACTGTTTTGTCAGGGACGAATTAAAATAAGGTTCTCGATATAGATTTTGTAGTCACAAATAGCTCGCGAATATAAAAATAAATACCCTGAGAATGAAAAAATATTGATATTGAAAAGTTAGTCCAGATACAACATGATAACATGTGTCAGAGGCATGCAAGATTTAAGTATAGACAAAGGAAACCTTGTGTAGCAAAGCATCGTTAGTTCGAGAACTAGACACTACATCGTTAATCACCAGAGTATGAAAAGTAACTCTTTCTGAGTTGTAGATAAACTGGTGTCGAAAATGGCCAGATAAATTAGTCTTGTTCCTGTTTCCTACACAGTCGTCATTAAAATGCAAACTACTGCTTGCCGTCAATATCAAAATATAAAATGAATTTTGAGCAACCTTTAAATCACAACAAATGATTTTAAAGAAACATCCTCCACCAATTAAATAAGAAAATGTTATGTCCACCTCATACATGCATGCAACTGTTTCTGACAGTCAAGTAGAGTGACCAAGACAGAATTTCTCCTTACAATAACAGTACATTATCAAGCAGACAAATGATGAAAATAAACAAACATATCAATAAAGGGATTATTAGTTGGTCCAAAAAGAAATTCTCCACAACCAGATGAGATGGATTGCATGGTAGATAACCAGGAGAAAAACTGACAAGAACTTGGGGAGTGAAAAGGGTCAATATGGAATCATTGGTAAGTCGCAAATGAATAAAGGGGGCGAGTTTCTAAAGAAACTGCGGTGCTTCGTCGGTAGGGGAGTGTAACAAGGTAATTTTGGTTTTATCAACTGAGTTGATAAATGTATTTTGGCCACCTTAAAGAGTTTCAAAGCTGACGTTACGAGCTCTAGCCCTGTAAAATAGGAAATATAAAAGTAAATAGCCCTGAAGGCTATTGGGAATGGCTAGCCTCGTAATACAATAGAATTACCGTGAAGCTCGGAACTAGCTTTTTTACCGAAAAACAAAAAGAGATCAAGCGACAAATAGCAACTTGAAATTTTTTTTTTATCTTAAGTTGCGTGCTCCCTGCATTCAAATTTTTTCAGAAAAATAACTTGTGCATTCCTAGGTTTATAACAGGTGCAAATTGCCACCACTTTTATGGCGCTTAATACAGTTCCCTGCATTCAAGTCTCTTGTTGTACCACTAATGACGCTTGTTTCATAAGAGCTATGTCACACGGTTCGTGGAGCCTGAATAATTTTTATTCAAATCATCAAAACGGATCTTAGTTGGAATCCGAATTGATCTTCCTCATCTCTCACCATCCTTAATCTTTCTTGCTTTCGTATCATACCTTCAAAGGTCTCGTAACTTACCATACTACCATTTCACAGTTTATTGCAAATCAAAGAGCGATAATTTACGAAACCACCGTCAAATAAAGTAATTATGCAGACACTTCCGTTTGAAATCGTCAGTTCATGAGCCGCTTGACGAGTCCAGGGCTTTTTCTTGACTCACTCATCCTGGCAATGATCTCCTTTTCAGGCGGTAACCGGTAAATTTATCTCTTATTTACCGCCTTAAATCGCTTGGAATTCTTGAAAATTCAACAGGTAAAAGAATTGCTGCACCAGTTTGAAAATAAAGTAACCCCTTCCCGTTTTGTCGTTCCCTGATGTACAAGGACATCTTTGAAGTTTTCTCCTTTACGAAATAATATTTCCTCTAGGTGCAAATATACATCACATAGAGAATAGCTTCAAGGTATCTCAACGATACCCTATTTACGTGGTTTCCGTCGGAATGAGAAAAAGGAACTCGAAAAAAATAATTATGGTGTCTTTGTTTCCGGCTGAGCCCCCAGGTGGATCACGCCTTTAAGTGGCTCGGTAAGTGTCGTAATTATCTCGCGAAGGCCGCAAACAAAGCTGTGTTGTTCACACCTAAACACGCGTCTGACCGCATGAACTCCAGTAACATGTGCGGAGATCTTTACGTGAACAGGAAATGCTTAGGTTAAATGCAAACACAGCATTTCACCGTGCGCTAGAATCAAGATTAAAGAGAACAGAAAGGAAGAGTTCGTGAATTTCTGATGAAATATAAGAAAAGTGTTTTTAACTTCTGTGCCGTTGAGACCACTATTTACTAAAATACATGAAGTCAAAGAAATCCTGGAATCTAGGAATCAAAGCTTTTGCGTCACCACAAAACCTACAATCAACAGCCTATTCAAAAGGGATTGAATAGACGCTTATGAAACCGACGAGAAAATTGCAAATTTGGTGCTACCGAGCAACGTTTGAGCTCAAAGACACACATATTACGCAGGTTGACATCACGTAGCAACAAGGTATTCACTAAACAACTTTAAAACAAAGCCCGGCCCTTTACGGAATATTTCAGATCCGGTTTCGTTAGAGCCATTTATCTTTGCTGACATTTTTTCCCGCCAAGCCCTTGTGAATTATCTTATTATCTTATCGCTTTGTGGCGTTTACAAAAGGCACCGGTGATGCAGTCAACGAGTTTTTCTGTGCTCCTGAGATAACTACAGAGGTCACTAACTCGCAGCGAAAACTTTCACGACTCGCGCTGCTTCTGTGAATCGCAGCAAACGGTGAGTTTTGTTCAATGAAGTATAACATCAAAACAACCCCTTGTTTTAGAAAAGAAGTTCTGAAAAACACCGCGCACGAAAGAGCCCCGGGGGGACTAACACAATTGAGGGCACAGTCCGTGAGAGCATGTTTACGAAGCGAAAGTTGACCTCTCTCCATCACAAAAACGGCACTTAGCATTTCTTTTGTGTACCGCACAAAGGAGTCATCGATATGTTAATCTACGCACGACCGAAAAAACTGCATTTCAATGTTGTTAAACATCTTTTAGCGCTTACAGAACAAGCAGACTTCAGAAGACATGATGGCTTGTATCTTAGAAACTTAACACCGGTTCGTTATCAACTGACTGACGTAACGTCTAATATTTTGACGTTGGAAAAAGGATTCTGCGCAATTAAGAACTTTTTAAAACGGATGACAAAAGTCTATTCTAAGCAATTCTATACATGTCAAGTAATTTGGCTTGTGCGTAACAAATGAAGGCTCGTTGACACGTTTTTCATAATAGAATTGCACACAGCTTCATTTCGGCGATTCCACTTGTGCGTACCAACGGATATAGATTAGATGAGTAACATAGCTGTTCGAATGAGTGTAAAATTATGTAAAAATAAAAATAATTAAAAAGCACCCCAGGCAAGACCATGAGGCAGATCGCAACCACTAAAGAACAGCACGTAATGGGTTTCGTTGGGCGGGGGAATGCTATTGTTCTGTACAGTTTTCAAATACCTTTGTGGAAGATAACGTTATTAAGTAAGAATCCACATTAAAATTATCTTAATACAACAAGTTTCAATCGCTCTTGCAAGCCTGGCGTTTATTCGGCTTGTCATGAATTATTAATCGTTGAAATACAACTTCCCAAAAAACTCCTTATCAGTGAACCTGTTTTTTTTTACCTTGAGGGAAAGATAAATTCAATTTTGCTGATTCGGCTAAATTTTAAGCCGTTCATTTTCAATTCAACTCACGAATTTTAGTTTTGTTGCTCACTCAACTAGGACGGGAAATCTAGGCATCCTCTTTTATGTTGAAATTCATGGCTGACAAACTTTTTTGTTTACATGTTTAGAAGAAGTGAACAATACAGAACTAGCCGAGAATAGCAAATGACTAAGTAATTGCATCTGCGATCCATGTGTGAAGGCTTTAAACAGTTATTGGACGGACGATAAATAGTCGTATTTCATTCACTTGGGTTATTTCTAATACCAAGGATATGTTGGGATAATGAAGTAAATGAAGCCTGTTTTGGATTTTTTGAAGACGTTTTAAGTGCTTCCTTGAAGGGGTTACTCACTTACAGAGTCTGAGCTAAAATAAATAACCCTAGAGGCTTTGAAATTATTCATATACAGGAAAAAAAAAACATCACACCGAAAATCTTTGACTTTTTTTGTCACAGTGAAGGTTTAAAAATTAGTGAAAAGTAAAGAAAGTCACAAGGTAAACTCATCTGACGTTCATTGTCTCCAAGTTGGTGTCTATTCAAAAGAATTTCCTAATCTCTAATGTGACGGAAAGAGAAACTCAAAATAACATGGCAAGGCAACTAATTCTGTACTCCATCTTAACTATTGGCTACTTAAGATGCACATGATTTTCGTGATCAAAACATATCTTTTGGTCAATCACAAAATAAACAGCGCTGTCTAGAATTTCTTCGTCAGAAAACCGCAGTTGATAGCTGTTTAGCCAGTTCATGGCTCTCATCGGCGTTCCAAAACATTGCCTAGCCATCTTGATGCTTCAGGTAAGCTTTTCAAGTAGATAAATGGTAACACTGAGTTTTGAATATGTCATAGCTTTTGCCTTCTCTGCTGGTGACCGCCACACCGCTCTACATGATTAACATTGACACTGAGTAGCTCAAAATGAATCCCTTTTTGTCGCCCGCTCATGTATTCAAAGTGTTATATAATTGCCTCGGCTGAGGGGAGAGTACAACGTTTAAAATTGGCAAAACAGATCAGCAATAAATCTTCAATCCACCAGGGTGGGCGAGAAAGCGTTTTCCTCGGTTTCCCACATAAATGGGGGCGTTGTGAAATCATTTCCGATTCTCCTCTGTCTGCCTTGGGTTTGTGTTGACGGGAAAAATAACGCAAATTGTAGGAAAATGGAAAGTTGCTTTGACCAAAGGTGTCAGTCTGAAAAATTGCATCTGCAAATCAAGAACACAGCAAAATACAGACCAAATAGACAAAACCTCACGCAGGTGAAAGGCATTATACCGATAGTAATGCAATTAGCACACAATCGCCATCAGGTCTTGGAACTCGTCAAAACCAGTCTGACTCTATGAGGGAGGCAAGATTTGCAAGGACTACATATAAGTAACATTTGATTCAAACTAGACCGCGCTCACTTCATTTAAAATTAAGACAGTCACTAGTCATTCAAATCATCACACATTAAAATGCGCATTAGCGTGTCCACACAAATTTCGCTACAAACAACAGCTTTCGCCACAGGTAAACAATATTCCCCAAGCGAATACGCAAGCCTATTGAACTTTATAAGCTAATATATGCAACGAGCAAGAACGCGCTTGCGCAATTAAACAGCGTGTGCGCGACCCTTGTATTCGATCCTTTTCTGTGATTACGTGCACTGTGCCCTGCAGGAAAACCGTGCTCTCGTGGACTCTCGTGTACTCTGTTAACTAGTTTAGCACGTCTTCAAATATCTAATGGTTTTTTGTGCTCCTGTGTTGAAAATCCACAAGGTCCAGGAAGCGGCGATGATGAAGATTCTCCTTGAGATCGGAGCCCTGTGCTCGATGACCGTTACTCGCACAGGTTAGTGTGTTCGAACCCATTGTAAATAAGCGTGTCCACTATTTTGGTAGTTCTCTACGAGACGGTTGTTTTTTTTCTAATGTGGAATGGTGTGTCAAATTTCTAAAATATTCACACTATGGCCCAAAATCTGTGCGATTAAACTGCTACGGGAAAGTCGTGTCGAATTCACGTTTCTTTTGCCACACCTTGACAAGCTGCAAATCATTGAATTTCGTTTCTTTGGAACACTGAGCATTCATATCATCGCCGCTATTGCTGTTGTGAGGCAGGACGGAGACCAAGCAAGAACCCCAGGAGTCTAATAGCGTTTGATCTGAAATTTGAGCCCTGTAAAACTGACCGAAATCTCACTTAGCCTTTTGTCACTCTCTTTCGACCCTTAACGATCGAGGTTATACATATTCTGCGTCACAATCAAGAATTAAACGTTTTGTCATTACAGTATCCAGAAGGTTGCTGTAGCGAGAACGTATTGCTTTGTTTAGTGAAGCATACTGCACATCTTCACAGGGTGTAGATTTTTGCTTTTTTCACCCACTGTGAAATTGTCGAGTCATTCAAAGCTAAAACCCTGCGATCAGAAATTGAAACTCCGCGCTTCAAACAAATTTATCGCTTCTCTTTGTCTAGCTTCAGGTTGACCGATCAAAGCAATCAGAAAGTTTGAGGAAGTCAACTGTTTGTGTTTCGCTTTCTTTGGCCCCTATTGAGTCGGTAAAGACAGTCGTTTTGAGGCAAACTTTTGTAATAGTTTATGGGTGCACTTCTGATCATGCATTAACTTCGCTAGAAACTTGTTTGAAATTTTTGTGGCCGATACAAGTTGATCAGGTATGCAAGAGTTGTTGAAAAGTATTCCTTAGGAGTTATGAAACATGTTGCTTTTGTTTCTAGTATGATTTGAACTTCCCTCGGCAAGCAGATTTCTGCATCTAACCCATGGCATGCGACACATTCGTGATCGTCATGTAATACTCGAGCAGTATCAAAGTGTAGTGAGTTTAGTCACGTATTCCACAATATAGCATCATTGTTAAAATGTTGTTGTTTTCGGTTCAAAAGGGCGTCGCGAGGCAGCCGTTTTATTTGAAAACAACTAAACTTACATTTGCGCGAATTTCAGAATGATTACCGTAGAACTACCTCAACTTTCAAAAAACAGACTGTCGAACTTACGGCGTAAAAGCACAACGATTAAGTTCCATTTTGAAGGACGAGGTCATTTGTGATTCGACGTAAAGGAATAGCAAGTTCCTGTAGTTTGCCTTCCTTTTTTGATTTCTGTTGGAACTGAAGAGATCTCTCCAAATTTTCAGCTATATACTTTTTTCAGCTTTGGAAAAGTTCGCTTTTTAAAGTTTTTGAACTCTGTTAGTGGGCAACTATCTGATCTACCACTACACTTTATCGAAATTTGTTTACGATTGAAAATAAATCGCTTACATTTAAATGTGTCCAGTAACATAAAAGATTAAACAAGAATGTCGCCACGAATGGGATTTATTTATGATGACACTGGGAAAATATTCGTCTTGAAACTAAATATTGGGCTACGATTTTCGAATTCCGCAAACATTTTGTTCTTTAGCCAAGAGACATTCACTTGATGAGTGAATGAGTCACCTAGGTTCTGAAGAGCGAGACAGGCAAAGCAACGTCTCAGTTTAAGATCGCGAGATTTCTTTCGTAGTGACATCGACGAAGGTAAACGAACACACTCAAGCACGCAAAACGCCATTACAAAAATATGTACGATGCTTGGATATTTTTTAAAGTCATTTGCATTTGTTTTGCTTGACTTCAATATGCGTTCAGTATTTGGGTGATAATTATGCGAGTCGGGGTGAAATCATCTGAGTCATTTGTCAAAAACGTCAATAACTTTCTATTTAGAAGCATTAAAAACTAGGCATGAGGGAAAAACACAAGATTACTGATCCATCCGTGGGTTCAATGAATAGTCTAACACAGAAGCATATATAACTAAAACATAATCAAACGGCGAAACATTTTGCTCATTCTTAGGCGAAGAACACGAAAACTTACGCTCGACAAATAAGAACCAGAGGGGAACTGAGGGAGAAAGAAAAAGCGAAAGAGCGATAAAAAAAAAAAAACACTTTTTTTTTAGACTCCACCGGTTCGTTAAAAATTTGGCAGTTAAAAAGGGGAAGATACCAACTTGAGTACTAAATACTGTTTACTATTATTCGAAATACTCTACGTGCGAATGCATATTTAGATAATTCAACACAAAAAGGAATTGTAAACATGACGTTTCCTGACTATTGTTTTCGTTGAAAGGAAATGTTAAACTGTCTGTTCCTTCGCTCCACGACCATTTTTCCGCGTGGTACGTTGCGTTAAATTTACCTTAAGTAAGTGGTGACATTCCCTTGAGTATTTATTTGCAAAGCTATTTTAGTAGCTACATTTGAATTGACTCCTTTCAGCTCTAAAATACTTTGACAGCCATGCAACTACATCTATGAAAATTCAAGATTTTATGACTTGGAATGACAATTATCTTAATTGCGATGCAAAAAATTTCCAAAGGGAAAGAAGGACTGAAAATTGATATTTTGATTAGCATTTAATGTTGAAATTTTTATAGACGATACCATATAACACCTTCAACATATGTTATATACGATAACTTTCTATGGGTATTGCGCGTAATTTTTTTCTTTTTGCGAAAGGTAATTTTGGTAGCTTTATATATTTACAATCGTTGAATGGAATTTCCTGCTTAATACACTAAATTCGTACAAAGACAAACCATATTGAGGAAAAAACCTGACCTGATTCTCTAAAACATTGAAATTAAGGCAAACTGAGAAATGAAACATCTGTTTTCGACCAAATTATACGGCCGTGCAACTCAGAAACTTAGGCTATGAAACAGAAATGATAAGAGGTAACTAGTCAGATTTAATATCTGTTGGAAACTGCAAAAGGAATCACAAAATGTGACTGGTGGCTGACATTTTAGTTAAACCGCAGGATTTACTTTACAAGCTCGAAATAACGATTAAATTTCATGTATGGGATAAAGAGGAAATGTTTGATTTGTTGATAAACCAAAATGGGCAACTTGTGCACTAGTTAAGTTTTTAGCATGTCGCCACTTTGCCTTGTTTTAAATTTACAGGATGCAAACTAAAATAAGAAAGGTTCTCTGAGAACTGAACACACAATTGGCCAATCCCTAAGGCTGTCACCAAAACTCATTTACATTTACCTCAAAATGTCATCAGTAGTCTTTGAATGAAGGCTCTAAACAGACACTGTTACTTGGACTTTTGGCAAACAGAGCTACATATATATGTACATCAGCATCAGCACCATCATTCAACATACTGCTACAAGCAATTGAGAAGTACGATAAACAATGCAAATAGAAATACAAGTCACTGGTTCTGTTTCCATTTCTCTCTTCTTGCTTTTCATGGAGCTACACCTCTAGTGTTGGGTGTCTTTACCTGATAACAATGGGTTTGAGTCTGAGCTTCAGCCAGGCCACTGTGATGTGATCTGTTCCAAAGAGGAAGTTACGAAACTCCTGAGCACTTCACGCCCCTGAAACCCACGGAAGCTCTAACCAAGTGGGACGTCTGGGCCGTAAGCATTTCAACCCTTTACAACCTAACATCAGTAAGCACACTCTCTAAGCAGTTTTCCATAAATTTCCCGAGGCGCTGGCGAGGAAAATTTGTTAAACAAGAAAGAGATTCTTCCATTGGCGATCAGTTCTTGTATCCTCGAGACCTAACTGCATGATTCTGGGTTAATACTGCAAGGAGAAATTTGATGCTAGTAACTCTTAGGGGGGGTTATACAAGGGCATAGCCAGGGGGGTCCTGGGGTGCCCGTGACCCCCCCTTGGTAGGCCTTCTTTAGAGCGAACAACCTACAATATTCAGGTGGCGAAAACGCCATGACAATATCTTGGCCGTAAAAGCCATTGTTGAAAAGCCCACTTTTTTAAATTTTTTTTTTGTAAAGTATTTTCGTCAATGGCTCTTGTATTTAGTTAAAATGGGCCTTCATGCCGCGATAATACAACTGAGCCCGCTGATACATGCGGAAGAGCAGCGGTGTGAATGGTGAGTAGCCTCTGTGACCCTCCCTTTGAAAAATCCTGGTTACGCCCCTGTTATAGGGTTAATCCTTTCTTTTACTTTTGCACCATACAGATGGAACAGTTACGCTGCCCTCGCAATCATTCAAAATCCAACAAGGAAGAGACTTCAGAATATCATGTGAGGTGATAGGAGAAGATTTCGTACATTGGCAAACACCATCAAAACCAGCTCGGCCGGGAGTACCAGCAGTTCCAAGTGTTAACATTCCAGAAACAACGACTACTGGTCCCAAACACATCAAAGTGTCTGGGAACACTTACCAACTAGTAGTACAGGATGTTGCTGTGAAGGATGGAGGGAATTATGTTTGTCAAGGAGCAGTTAACTCTGCGACCATCACCCTTGAAGTTGACTGTAAGTAATTACAAGAACTGATTTTCTCATGGTTAAAGGGGAAATATGCTACAGTTTTAAGCTTTCGGATGAAGCAATTTTAGGAAATTTTGCCATTCAAAAAATGTTCCTAGATGATGTACATGGAAGGTTGAAGCATTATTTGTTTTAAAATGTAGGAGGGTACCACTGTGCAAAACTGAAGAAAATTGAATCTGATTTCATCCAGGTCAACCTCAGAACATTTACCCCCTACACTTTTCCAAGTTTGTTTCACTCCTTATGACAATGGCAGTCCCAATTCAACCAATGAAACATTCCTTGTTTGCTCTGAGAGTGTGATAAATGGTGAATTCTTTCCAATTTCAAAAATTCCAAGGTTTGAATTGATTAAAATATACAGAACTATCTAAAACACAATGACCTGAGTGCTGTGTGTACACTCTTACAAGACCTCCTGGTATACATGTACCAATGTTAGCTACAGCTTTTAACCCATCAAAGTGAAAGTGAGGCTAATACACTTGCTTTCACAATTGGAAAAATTGAGTTTCTGTATTTGGCCAAGAATTGATAAATTTCTTATCTAACCCAGGGATTATATTTGAGTGTTATGCAAGTAAGTAGGTAATTCAAAACACCAGAGCTTATCCCAGAACTGTTGGCATGAAGTAACTAGGTTTATTATTCAACTGTGCCTCGTAGAGTACAAATAACGCCCAAAACGAGTACAAATATCTTGCGGTATTTGTACTCCAAAGAACCAGTTAGAAATTTGCCCGCACTGAAATAACAATTGGGGTGTTGGATAATAAATCTCTCATTAAACGTTGTTTGTATTTTGACTCGCCCAACGGGCTCGTCAAAATACAGCATAACTTGTGAATACACTCAGTGATACTAACTCAAACGTGTAATAAGATATGTGTAGTTTTAACTTGTTGTGTGTATTTTGATTCCCCCCTTGGGCTCGTTAAAATAC